TTATATATTTCATATTCTACATATAAGTGATATTGTAGAGTATTTGTCTTCCTTTGTCTGACTTATTTCACTTAGCATAATGCCCTCCAAGTCCACGTGCTGCTAGTAACTTTGGGTTTTGTTTGTTCTTGTTTCTCTAATTGCTTTAGGTATAAGGTTAGGTTGTTTTATCTGAGATTTTTGTTATTTCTTGAGGTAAGCTCCTATTACTATAAACGTCCCTCTTAGAACTGTTCTTAAGGCATCGTGTAGATTTGGGATGGTTCTGTTTTCATTTTCATTTGGTTCTAGGTATTTTTTTATTTCCTCTGATTTCTTTAGTGATAAATTAGTTTGGTAATATATTGTTTAGTCTCCATGTGTTTGTGATTTTTTTGCAGTTTTTTTTCCCCCTGTATTTGATTTCTAATCTCATTATATTGTGGTCAGAAAAGATGCTTGATATGGTTTCAGTTTTCTTAAATTTACCTAGGCTTGTTTTGTGGCCTAGCTTGTGATCCATGCCAGAGAATATTTTATATACACTTGAAAAGATTGTGTGTATATATACATTTATCATTTAAGTTCTTCTGTTCTTCGTGTCTAATGTTTCACTGAAGTCCTGTGTTTCCTTATTGACTTTCTGTCTGGATGATCCATCCATGGACCTAAGTAGTCCCCTACTATCATTGTGTTGCAGTTGATTTCTCCTTTTATGTCCATTGATATTTGCCTTATATGTTGATGTGCTTGTATGTTGTGTGTGTATGTATGTACAGTTGTTACATCTTCTTGGATCAGTCTCGTGATCATTGTGTAGTGTCCTCCTTTGTCTCCTGCGATAGTCTTTAAGTCTTTTTGTCTGATATAAGTATTGCTACTATGGCTTTCTTTTGGTTTTCATTTGCATTGAATAGCTTTTTGATTCCTTTACTTTCAGTTTATGTGTGTCTCTAGGTCTTAAGTCTCTTGTAGGCAGAAAGTCTTGTTTTTTATCCACACACTATGTCTTTATTTAGAGCACTTAGCCATTTACATTTAACATAGTTATTGATGTATATGTTCTTATTATTATTTTGTTAATTATTTTCTGTTTGTTTTTACAGATCTTTTTTCCTTTTTTGTTCTCCTCTCTTGTGATTTGATGACTATCTTTAGTGTTACTTTTGAATTCCTTTTTCTTTTTTGTGTGTATAGCTATTGTAGATTTTTGTTTTATGGCTACCATGAGGTGTTTGTATAGCAGTCCATATATATATGTGTGTGATTGTTTTGAGTTGCTGATATTTTCATTTCAAATGCATTTTAGAAACCTTGCATTTGTACTCTTCTCCTCTCATGATTACTGTTTTAGATATGATATTTTACATCTAATTATTTTGTATATCCCTTAACTGCTTATTGTGGTTACAGATGATTTTACTACTTTTGTCTTTTAACCTCCCCACCAGGTTTGTGTGTGGATGATTTCCTATCTTTACTACATGTTTACCTTTTCTGGTAAGCTTTTCCGTTAAGTAATTTTCTGATTTCTAATTGCGGCCTTTTCTTTTTCATCTAGAGAAGTTCCTGTATCATTTATTATAAAGCTGATTTGGTGGTGGTGGACTCTCTCAGCTTTTGCTTGTGTGTAGAGCTTTTGATCTCTCCAGCAAATCTGATCCAGAGCCTTGCTGGGTATAGTTTTTCTTGGTTGTAGGGTTTTCCCTTTCATCACTTTATTTTTTCTTTATTTTTTAATTGGAGGAAAATTGCTTTGCAGTGTTGTGATCATTTCTGCTGTACAACAGTGCAAATCAGCTATCATTATGGCCTTTCATCACTGTAAATATCATGCCATTTCCTTTTGACTTGCAGAGATTTTGCTGAAACATCACTGACCGTGTTATGGGCCTTCTGTTTCATATTATTTGTTGCTTTCCCTTGCTGTTTTTTAATATTCTATCTTAATATATAACTTTTGTTGTTTTAATTGCAATATGTTTTGGTGTGTTCCTTTTGGGTTCAACCTTGATGGGATTCTCTACACTTTCTAGACTTGGGTGACTATTTCATTCCTCAGGTTAGAGAAATTTTCACCTATTTGTTAAAATTTACTCAGATTTTTTCTCTCTCTCTTCTCCTTCTAGGATCCCTATAATGCAAATATTAATGTGCTTGATGTTGTCCCAGAGGTCTCTTAAACTGTCCTTATGTCTTTTCATCATTTTTCTGTTCAGCAGCAGTGATTTCCAGCTCTCTGATCCATTTCTTTGTATCATTTAATCTACTGTTGATTCCTTCTAGTGTATGTTTTGTTTCCATTATTGTATTCTTCATCTCTGTGTGGTTCTTTATATTTTGTAACTCTTTGTTACAGACTTCTGACTTCTTGNTCTCTCATTTTCTTGAAGAGATCTCTAGTCTTTCCCATTCTATTGTTTTCCTCTGTTTCTTTGCATTGATCACTGAGGAAGGCTTTCTTATCTCTCCTTGCTGTTGTTTGGAACTCTGCATTCAAATGGGTATATTTTTCCTTTTCTCCTTTGTCTTTAGCTTCTCTTTTCACAGCTATTTGTAAGACCTCATCAGATGACCATTTTGCCTTTTTGCATGTTTTTCCCTTGGGGATGGTCTTGATCACTGCCTCCTGTACAGTCTCACGAACCTCCATCCATAGTTTTTCAGGCACTCTGTCTATCAGATATAACCCCTTGAATGTATTTCTCACTTCCACTGTGTAGTCATAAGGGATTTGATTTAGTTCATACCTGAATGGTCTAGTGGTTTTCCCCTAGTTTCTTCAACTTAAGTCTAAATTTGGCAATAAGGAGTTCATAATCTGAGCCACAGCTAGTTCCCAGCCTTTTTTTTTGTTTGCTTTTTCTGACTATGTAGAGTGTCTCCATCTTTGGCTACAAAGGATATAATCAGTCTGATTTCGGTATTGACCATCTGGTGGTGTCCATGTGTAGAGTCTTCTCTTGTGTTGTTGGTAGAGGGTGTTTGCTATGACCAGTGCGTTCTCTTGGCAAAACTCTGTTAGCCTTTGCCCTGCTTCATTTTGTACTCCACGGCATCTCTTGTTTGTTACTCCAGGTATCTCTTGATCTCCTACTTTTGCATTCCAGTCCCCTGTGATGAAAAAGACATCTTTTTTGGGTGTTAGTTCTAGAAGGTCTTCTAGGTCTTCATAATTACCCATAAGAAAAGAATGAAATCTCTGCATTTATGTTGACATGTATGGTCCTAGATGGTATTATACTAAGTGAAATAAGTCAGACAGAGAAGGACAAATTACTGTATGATTTCCCTTACATATGAAATCTTAAAACAGATGGATAAAAATAACAAAAGAGAAACACAGCCATAGATGCAGAGAATAAACTGCTTGCCTGAAGGGAGGCAGGGTTGGGGCATGTTTGAAATAGGTATGGGACATTAAGTTAACTTTCAAAATATATGACTCACAGAATGCAATATACAACGTGGAAAATAGGGTCAATAATAATGTATCTTTGTCAGGTGACAGATGGTAACTAGACTTATCGTATAGGAAGGACCCACTGACAACAATGTTAATCTTAATTATATTGTACTTTATATCCCAGGGATTCCCTGGTGGCTCAGATGATAAAGTGTCTGCCCACAATGTGGGAGTCTTGGGTTCAATCCCTGGGTCAGGAAGATCCCCTGGAGAAGGAAATGGCAATCCACTCCAGTACTATGGCCTGGAAAATCCCATGGACAGAGGAGCCTGGTAGGCTACAGTCCATGGGGTCGCAAAGAGTCGGACACGACTGAGCGCCTTCACTTCTTTCTTTCTTTGTACCCCTAGTACTTGTTTATCTTTTAAGTGGATCTTATAAATTGTGCCTTTTGACCAACTTCATCCATTTCTCCCTCCCCTTACACGGCACCTCTGGTAACCACAAATCACGTCTGTTTTTCTGTGTCTCATAATGGGCGTTCCGCCACAGGGTGATGCCAGCAGTAGTGAGACAGTTGCTGGAGCAGCTCTCAGTTTCTGCTGGTTAGTCCTTTTCACAAGATAAGTACAGAAATGCCACTAAAAAAAAACAATGACAGGAAAGCTACCTCTCATTTTTCCATTCCAATCCCTGCCTCCACTTATAATAAGGTTTCTGGTCCTTCTTGCCCATGTTATCCAGCCCACCTTCCTCCCTTGCCTCCCCAGTCTTTTAGCCCTCAGTACTTCCCAGCACTGTCCACCTCTTTCAGTGTTATGCTGTATCTGTTCCCCTCTTCTGACGAGTGTCATCTCTTCCTGCCACCCTACTTTAAGAAGTTTCATTCCCAGATCTTCCCCCGGTCCTTCCAGACCATCCGTTTGCTGCCTTGTTCATATTGCTCCTTTCTTGTTACTCACCCTTTTTGATTCTCCTTTATGTTTGTCCCTCCTCTTCCTCCTCGTCTTTATTTCTAGTCCCGTGTGCTCTAGTCCTAATCAAAACTCCAGCCACCCCCAATCAGATCTGGAGATGCAGTTATATCTGGCGACTTGGTATATTCTATTTTCCGTCTTTATAATTGGTAGATTATAGAGTTTTCTAGGTTAATAGAAATTGTCTGTGAATGAGAACAGTATTGCATCTTCCTTTTCAGCTTTAGGTCTCCAACTCCCTGTCCCTGTAGCAGATTCCACTGATTGGAGCCTTTGGTACAATGTTGAATTTTAGCAGTGCTCATGAGCAGCCTTGTATTATTACTGAATTTTGTGCAGCGCTTCTGATGTTTCACAGTCAAGAATCGAAATTGATATAGGCTTTTGGTAGATGTTCTTTATCAACTGAGAATTTTCTTCATATTTCTAGTTTACCAAGAGTTTTATTATGTACAGGTGTTAACATTTAGTGAAACATTTTCAGCATCAATTATTTTTTCTTTCTCTTTTGTAATTGCAGTAAGAGATTTTCTAAGGTTATAACATTTTTAAATGTATTTAATTTTAAACTACTGTCAGTTGAGGCTTGAATGATATGAGAAAATAAAATTTTAAGATGCATTATTTTCTGTTACAGAAAGGTGTCTTCAAAGGAGATGGAGATGACACATTAGAAAACTCAGCAGCTGACCAAAGGTAAGGTTGAGTTACCAGAAAATACTTTCTTAATTATGTTTAATTATTGTTAAAAAATTTTTTTTAGTCTTAGGAATGTTTGTTTTCTAGTCTGCTCTAATGAGGTTTAAATGACCTATCTTTGAATTGACAAGGGAAAAACAGCTGCTATCATCATCTCTAAGAGTGGCTCTCAACTGAGTGATTTTGCTTCCCTCCCCTCCCCAAATACTTGACAATGTCTGCTACCAGTTTTGCTTGTCACTGTTGTGAAGGGCAAGGGCACTGGTATCTAACGGGCAGAGGCCAGTAATGCTGCTAAACATCCTACAGTGCATAGGTCAGCCCCTACAATAAAAAAAAAGTTATTCAGCTTGAAATATTAATTGAGCTAAGGCTCTGAGAATCTCTGGTTTAGGAAAAAGGTAATGTATTGATTGCTATGGAGAAATAATATAAACTTTTAATATAAAACTTTTGATGGAGGAAATTAACATAAAAGATCTCATGTTTATTTATCTCGTTATATATGTATTAAACTAGATTAAACAGAATATGCATCTTTCTAACTTTGCATTTTTTCTTAGCTTTTTAGTTCCTCTTATAACTGAGCATGATAAGCATTTGGAAGAACTAAATGGTCAGCTGAAATATTATCAGGTATGAAATCATAGTTGTTAACTCTTTGGTAGTATTTTCTTTAAAAAAAAGTAAATAGACATTGTTTCTTCAAAAATCCTTTGATAAGGAAGAAGACATTTACCTATACTCAATTTACAGCATTGTGTTAGTTTCAAGTGTCCAGCAAAGTGATTCTGTCATCCACATCTATGTGTTTGTGTATATATGTGTATTCTTTCTCAGACTATTTTCCATTATAAGTTATTATAAATACTGAATCTACTTCCCTGTTCTATACAGAAGGTCCTTGTTGTTTGTTTTATATATATAATAGTGTGTATCTATAAATACCTGTATCTGTAATCCCTATATAGTCTGTATCTATAAACCCCTAATTTATCCCTCTCCCCTCGTTTCCTTTTGGCAACCATAAGTTTGTTTTCTATGTCAGTGAGTCTGTTTCTGTTAATTTGTATTAATTTTTGATTCCACATATGAGTGATATTGTATGATATTCGTCTTTCTCTGACTTAACTTTTCTTAGATGTTAATTTCTAAGATGATCCATGTTGCTGCAAATGCATTATTTCATTCTGTGTGGCTTGAGTAATATTCCATTGTGTATGTGTGTGTTTATACATGTATGTGTGTGTATGTGTTTATATATATCACACATCTTTTTTATCTGTTCGTGTGTTGATAGATACTTAGGTTGCTCCCGAGTCTTGGCTGTTGCAGATTGTGCTGTTATGAACATTGGGGTGCATATATCTTTTTTAATTAGAGTTTTAGAATTAGAATTAGTATTTTTTGGACTGCCCAAGAATGGGTTTGTTGGATCACATGGTAATTCTGCTTTCTGTTTTTAAAGGAACCTCTATACTGTTTTCTTGCCATGTGAGGACACCCAAGACGGACGGGTCATGGTGTAGAGGTCTGACAGAATGTGGTCCACTGGAGAAGGGAATGGCAGACCATTTCAGTATTCTTGCCTTGAAAACCCCATGAACAGTATGAAAAGGCAAAATGATACTGAAAGAGGAACTCCCCAGGTCTGTAGGTGCCCAATATGCTAATGGAGATCAGTGGAGAAATAACTCCAGAAAGAATGAAGGGATGGAGCCAAAGCAAAAACAATACCCAGTTGTGGATGGGACTGGTCATAGAAGCATGGTCCAATGCTGTAAAGAGCAATACTGCGTAGGAACCTGGAATGTTAGGTCCATGAATAAAGGCAAATTGGAAGTGGTCAAACAGGAGATGG